AGCTGCTTGAGCCACAGGTGCCGAGCCTGGGGTCTCACTTTTGCTCAGGCTGATCTTGACCTCCTAAGTTGTAGCAATCCACCTGCCTCTGCCTCTCAAGAGTGCTAGGATTACAGGTGTGAACCACTGTGTCTGGCCTGTATTACCTCTAGATGTGAAACTGAAATGCTTTGTGAGGCAGTATTTTATACCCCTTTGTCCATAATTTGTATTTAATCCTGTACTTGTAAAGGTCTTTGACATTAGCATGTGAACTAATGGGAGCCCCCATTTTAAAAAGAGAAAAATTATTTGAACTTATTTTAGATTTACAGAAAAGTTACCAAATAGTATGATTATATCCCTGCCCTCCTTTCTTTAATGTTAACATCTTTCATAGCTGTGGTACAATATCAAGAACAGGAAATTAACACTGGTGCAATATTATCAACGAAACTTCAGACCTTATTAGAATTTTAGCAGTTATCTGTTGATGTCCTTTTTCTGTTCCAGGATCCTAATTACATTTAGTTATTTCTCTTTAGTTTCATCTAGTCTGTAACTGTTCTATCCTTATCTTTCATGACTTTGACACTTTTGAAGATTACTTATCTGTTATTTTATAGGAAGTTCCTCAGTTTGGATTTGTTTGATATTTTCTCATGAATAGACTGAGGTTGTGCATTCCTTTTTAGTGCACCATATCAAGAGATTCATGCTGTCATTATGGTGTTGGTTTCCCTGATTACTGGTTAAGTTGGCGTCTTGCTGGTGTTCTATTATAGAGTTAACTGTCTTCCCCTTTGTAGTTGGTAAGTATCTTGTGGAGATATTTTTAAGAGTTTGCAATAGTTGGCTGGCGCTTGTTGCTCAGTGGGCAGGATGCCAGCCACATACACCAAGGCTGGCGGGTTCGGATCTGGCCCAGGCCTGCTAAAGCAACAATGCCAACTGCAACAGAAAAATAGCCGAGCGTTATGGCGGGCACCTGTAATCCCAGCTATTTGAGAGGCTGAGATAAGAGAATCACTTAAGGTCAAGAGTTTGAGGTTGTTGTGAGCTGTGATGCAATGGCACTCTACCCAGGGCAACAGCTTGAGACTTTGTCTCAAAAAAAAAAAAGTTTGCAAATAATATTTCTTCTCAAACTGAGTTCTCAATTTAATTTTAATTATTATTATTTTTTGAGGCCCACAGAGTCTCACTCTGGTGCCCTGAGTAGAGTTCTGTGGTATCCTACTTTATAGCAACCTGAAGCTCTTGGGCTCAAGTGATCCTCTTGCCTCAGTTTTTCTATTTTTAGTAGTGATGGGGTCTTATTATTACTCAGGCTGGTCTTGAAATCCTGAGCTCAAGCAATCCACCTGCTTTGGCCTCCCAAAGTGCTAGGATTATAGGCATGAGCCACTGTGCCTGGCCTAGTTCTCAGTTTTAGCAACTGGTAGATCTTGTCTGCAACTTTATTACATTTGTGGTTTCCTAATTTTGACTTTATATTTCCCTCTTATTTCTATATTAATTGTAATTCTGTGAGGAAGAGTTTTCTATTTATTCAATTATTCATATTATCCTGGGTTTATCTTTTAATTTTTTTTTGGAGATGGGGTCCCATTCTCTTGTCCTGGCTAGAGTGTCTATCTCAGAGCAACCTCAAACTCCTGCATCCTCCTGAATAGCTGGGATTACGGGTGCATGCCACTATGCCTGGCTAATTTTTCTCTTTTGAGTAGAGGCAGGGTCTCACTCTTTTTTTTTGGCCAGGGCTGGGTTTGAACCTGCCACGTCCAGCATATGGGGCCAGTGCCCTGCCCTTTTGAGCCACAGGCACTGCCCTCACTCTTTTTTTTTTGAGACAGAGCCTCAAGTTGTCCCCCTGGGTAGAGTGCTGAGGCATCATAGCTCACAGCAACCTCCAACTCCTGGGCTCAAGTGAGTCTCCTGCCTCAGCCTCCCAAGTAGCTGGGACCACAAGCACCCGCCACAATGCCTGGCTATTTTTTGGTTGCAGCCGTCATTGTTGTTTGGCAGGCCCGGGCTGGATTTGAACCGGCCACCTTAGGTGTCTGTGGCTGGCGCTTTAGCCACTTGAGCCACAGGCGCCGAGCCAGGGTCTCACTCTTGCTCAGGCTAGACTCATACTCCTGAGCTCAAGGGATCCTCTGGCATTGGCTTCCTAGAGTGCTAGGATTACAGGCATGAGGCAATGCACCTGGCCTGTATTTTAAGTTTTATTGACTAAAATCTAGAACTGTCTGTTAGTGTTACTCAGATTGTTCTGGCTTTGACCGTTAGGAGTTCCTTCTGCACATTGACTTCTATGTTCTTTTTTTTTGAAATCCTTTTTTTACTCTGACACCTCGATGTTCTAGGCTTATGTTGTTTTCCCTGTCCCAGTCCTGGGATCAATGACTTCTCTAAGAAAGCCTGGTTTTTTTTCTTGGAGAAGGGTCTCAGAGACCAAGATCTTGGCCTTAGGTGTATGTATTGTTACTGAAGTGTCATTGCCTCTAGGCCCTCTTATCAGACAGCTAGGGAATATGTCTGCATATTAACTCACATGGATATACATATCTGTTTCTATGTCTCTATGAAGCCATGAGTTTATACTAAATAGCTATAGTTCCGCAATAACTTCTCATCTGTTTAACTTTCTCTTTTTCTATATTTGTTAACTTCTTTCTTCAACAGAAATCTTGTTCTCATTATATATAATGTATGTTTTTAATTGTAGTATACGTATAAAATAGTTTCAGAATTTATAAACCTATTTTTGGTTTTTATTAAATGTATGAAATATTACCGTGGTTCCAAGAGTCAGAGTTATACAGAAAAAGATATACACAGAGAAGTGTTAACTCCCATCCCTGTTACATAGTTCCAGTTCTTACTTTTCTTCCTATACCTGTAGGCTAAGCCAATCTCTTTAACTTTTGGGTTGTCTTTCCTGTAGTTTTTCTTCTTTGTTTTTCCTTCCAAAAATAAGTACCTGTACATTTTCTTTTATCCCCTTTCTTTCTTTCTTTTTTTTTTTTTTTTCTAAATTTTGCTTTCAATTTCAACTGGCTTCACTCATCTTAGTTTGAAGTTTTAAAAAAAATATATTTTTTTCCTTCCTTTAATGATTCTCTTGCCCTCCCAAGTAGCTGGGACTACAGGTGCCCATCACAATGCCCGCCTGGCTTTTTTTGAGACAGAGCCTCAAGCTATCCCCCTGGGTAGAGTGCTGTGGCATCACAGCTCACAGCAACCTCCAACTCCTGGGCTCAAGCGAGTCT